AGCACAAGGCTCAACAGGCAAAAGAGATGCAACATCCTTCTGTAAGTCTTAATTACCCTAGAACAGTTCTCACACCAAAGCTTCTTCCTGTATGAATTGTGCATGGCTTGCTTCAGTACACTTTTTCACCCTTTCTTGGTATTACTTCTTAAATGGCCATAGCCACTTGAGGCTTAGGGAGTAGGGTGCCTTTTGATTGGCCTCTTTTCCAAATGTGTATGTCTTTCCCTGCTCAAGATTTCCATCCTCAATTTGGTGTGAGGGCCTTCATTATACTGAGGATCTTTTCACCCCAAAGAGTTGAGATCCTCCTTAAATAAAACAGGGACAGCTGCTCAGTTCAATCCCTCATCCAAATGCAGATTTTCAGAAACCTTCCAAATGTTCAAAGATATGCACCATATTCTCTTCAGTCTTTCCTTTTCAAGCAAACAATAACCTCAAGAAGAACTCAGAAGAAGATGTACAGGGCACCATAAAATTTAACCTAAAATTAGAAGCCCATAATAGCATCTTTTCATATTAAAATATAGAGGATTTATTTAACTGGAATTTACTAGACATAAACAATCCTGTTTTTTCAAACTTGAGAAAATAGCACTTTATTTTTTAAAAATATTTTTAGTTGTAGATGGACACAATACCTTTTTTTTGTTTATTTTTTTCTTTGTTGTTGTTTTTAATGTGGTGCTGGGGATCGAACATCCTCATGCATGCTAGGCAAGCACTCTACCACTGAGCCACAACCCCAGCTCAATAGCACTTACTTTAAATTCAAAGGACATAAAACTTTAAAATTAAAATTAATTTGATTACTTAACTATTAAAAATGTAAACATAAAAAAGTTACAATGTAAGAATGGCAACAATTCTCCTGAAATGGAGATGGCACAGTATAATGTGTAAATGTGGCTCTGATTTTTAGATAGAGGCAAATTAAGTTATAATCAAAATATTAATAGCAAATATTTTGCTTTTTAAAAGATGCTTATTTTAACTTTAATGCCTTATAAGATAAATGAAAAAAAAACAAAGTATTGTAGCAAAACCCTTTAAGAAATAATAATTTTCTTGCAAAATATTAAAAGACAAGTAATAAGAATACAGATTAGTAAAATCAGGGTTATTAAGAAAATAATGGTTCTTAAATCATTCTTCAAACTTTGTAAGTTTATAAGAGCAATATCCTTTTCTAGAAAAAATCAGCAAATTGAAGATTTTATAACACATACATCAATATTATTTCATCATTTCTTTCAAAGAACAAAAAACTAAAAATATGATCTATACATTTCCAAATGTATTACAATACTAAAACAGCAAATGCTTTCAAATAAATAAGACATTCAAAACCATAAGAAATATAAAGGAGAAAAATGGTTACCATACAATGCCAAGTTGGGGAGTTTAAGTGTAGGGACAAGCTCATATATAAATAAATTATATATACCTGGTACCTTATCATAAGAGAAGAGACAGACAGCAAGATTATCACCACATTTTAAATGAATGTCAAAAAAGAGCCTGAACTAGTTACAAAGGTTATTTTGGGGTGCCTAGGTGAACGTTTAACCCCAGGGACCAGCTGGAAAAATAGGATAGTTAGGCTAGGCTAGGCTAGGATGAAAACCATCCTAATCAGTTTCTGAGGTAATAAACATAAGCAAATTATGTCAGTTATAATAAAAAGACAAAGAAAAATGAAAACATTCAATGAGTACTGCCTATAATTACAGGAATGTAAAAATTTTAAAAAGTGGGAATGCATTTAGTGAATGATTTTTTAATGCTAATTATCACAGTGTCATGCACAGTTTCTGACATGATTTTGTGGCATATCAAGATAAAATAATAGGGCTGGGGACATAAATCAGTGGCACAAGGCTTGGGTTCAATCCCCAGCACTGAAAAAAAAATACATACACACTCACACACATTCATATACCAAAACACAGAGGAAGCTCCTTTATTTGTCTTATTAGATTAGTTGTACGGCCTTGGGAAATATTTACCCGAGTCTCAGTTTTCTAATATATAAAGTATATAGGAATAATGTGAAGAGCTGTTCAGAAGATTAAATGAGCTCACACACATAAAATCTTGTAAAATCTTAATAATAAGCAGTAATCATTTTTTTGATATTCAAGTAATATAGATAGATAATTTATAGACCATTCAGGGAAGAACAATCAGTCTTCAATCTAAATATAAAATCAGAGGTAATTAAAGGTTCAATAGGTCCAAATTGTCTTAGCTCATCAAGAAAAGGGTAGGTATCTACACAAATAGAGAATATATTAGTTTAGTACTATAGTATATAGACAAATCCTGATTAACATATATTAATAGATCATTGAAGAGGAATGATAAACAAACATACTTTAAATTGGGATTTGAAGTATTCAAATGAGAAGAGGGTGGGAGAGTTTGGGGAAGAATAAAATAATGACAACACTGACGCTAAGGAAGCATACAGAGCATCCGCTAAGGAAGCATACAGAGCATCCAGAGAAGTGTTTTTAAACGGGCTATGCTATTTCCATCTGAGTTTTAGTCAATAAAGCACAGTTATAGAGTCAGGGTTGTAGAATCAGATACCATGCATATGAATCCTACTTCATTTTGGGATCATGAAAAGATTACTTAAAATATCTATCTCTCAGTTGCCTCACTGTAAAATGGAGCTTAACAATGATATCTATGTTGTTGGATGGTTAATAACAAAACATTAAATAGATACTGAACATCACTGTCTGAACCAATATGTGTTACATAAGGAATGTTGTTTTTATAATATCAGGCAAAATATCATATCTTTGGTGAGCAGAGACAATATAATATATATCCCATTCAAGCCAATCTAGATTTTATTCAACTATGGAATATAAATTATTGTTGCTCATCTTTAAAAAGCTGCATTTTTTAATAAATAAAATTTCAACATTGGGTCAAATATTAGAGAAAAACATAGTTGATCTTTTTGAGTGAGTTTAGCATTTCTCATATAGCAGCAGTGACTTATTTAGTTTTCTTCCCAATTCTGTGTCTGGCACAGAACCTTAAACATGGTAGCTCCTAAAAAGATTTGCTTATTGTAGGTGGTTAATAAAACTGAAATAAACTTTTCAGGAAGTTTGCTTGAACAGTGCTCTGTGAAATTTCTTTTACAAGTGATAAAGCATTTAATTCTATACTTTGAGACAAGATCCAATAGCTTGATGGTTAAGAACAGAGGTATTGGAGATACAAAGAATTGCCTATAAATTCTGATTTTGAGTATGATTCTGACCTCATACACGATGATCCTGGGCAAGTTAATTTTTCTAAGCTCCTTTCTTTGTTCAGAAAATTGGGTAATAAGGAATAGGTTGTCCTTACACAGTGCCTGGCATATGGAAAGGGCTCATTTAACAAGTGATTTATACCTAGCTCCGACAATGGAGCTTGAGAAAGATTTGTGCAGTCAGACTTGTGGAAAATGCTTGCAATTCTAGAGTTAAAGCAGGCACACATTCTCTTCTCTCAACAAAGGGAGAAAAATACCTCAATATCAGTGCTAAAGACTCTGCAGTAATTTATACATATTTTCAACCATCTTGATCTTTTCTTCTTTTATAAACTATACTAAACACATATAAAACTTTCATATTGAAAACACAAGCGGGCTAGAAGTTTTTTAGAAAGTATAAAAATATTAGAAAACAAGTGCACTCATGAATGAAATCTGTTTTGAGCAAAATTGCAATGTCTCTAAATTATTTTGGCATAACCCAAACTGGCTAATGCATTGCTGATCTGCAATATGATTCAGCTACCAGATAAAAATTAAAATTTTAAGAGAAAATATTGCTATCTCTTAATATTCATATAACATATTAATTTGGTATCATGTAATTTTATTAATGACATTAAGTAAAAATTTGGTGAAATTATGGAAATTTTTAAAAAGATCATAAATCCAAAGATCTATATCAATTCACCAAAACATAATTTTCAAATACTTAGGTAATATAGTTTACAAACCTACTTGGAAATACAGCTCATAGTATCATAACTAATGATTACTTTTTTTTTTTTTTTTTTGCCTTACTGGGGATTGAAAGCAGGGGCACTCAACCACTAACCTATAAATAAGGCTTTTTTTTGTATTTTATTCTGATGCAGGGTCTTGCTAAGTTGCCAAGGATGCCTTGAACTTGTGATTCTCTTGCCTCAGCCTCCTGAGATGCTGGGATTACAGACATTTGCCTGGACCAATAAGTACTTTTGAAATAATCATATTGTTAGTTTTGATTCTTCTGCATTGATGGAAAATTAAAGCCATGAAGAGGAAGGGTATTACATCATAATAACTTCTTTTTTTCCTTATATCTTTTGAGTAAAAGTAGGAAATTTAAAATTTTTATTTTAATATATTCTTACTTAAATATATTAGAGGAATGTTTAAAATTATAGTTAATGTTAAGTTATAATTAAAGTTATAAGTAAAATGATGTGCCTTCCTAACAAATTATAATATAGAATTTTACAATTAATATTTCATAATTTCTATTTATTAGAATTGGATGACTGAAATTTAGTTATAATTTTTAAACTTCCAATTTTAGTTAATGTAAATTTCAACAAATTTTCCTTAATAATGCTTTGGCCTTGGAAGATACAACGGATTACAAATTATGCTTTTTTGTTATACATATAACTGCATGTTTGTGTATGTGTGTGTTTGGCTTAGTACTTTAACATTTGGTATAAGCAAGCAAGAGAAATGAAACTCTTATTTGTAAAACTTTGACTTACATTTTCAATACCATTAACAATTAAACAGAAAACACTCTATGAGTATACTTACAGAAAAAGAATGCATAAGAGAAATGTATACTGCAAAAGTTCATTACATTTATTTTTTGAAATTTCAATGAGATTTAACCAAACAACAAAAACCCAGAAAAGATGTCAAAAGGATTAAATTAAACCAATCAAAAAATTTAAATGTCACTAACCCAAAGCATGCACTGCTCCTCTATGCTTGCTGGAGCTCTTGCTTGTTTTAACCACACGAACAGTATTTTCTTTGAACTGCAACTCACAAAAATTTTCAAGAAATTTTGTCATTTCTTCTGTAACTGTATCCAGGTAAGTTTCTTTAATGAATTTCACTGTTGAGGATGGAGCTAAAATTTCATACAGTGTGTCAAAATCCTCTTTTATCATTGAGTATAATGAAAGCATTGTATTTTGGAATCCATGAGTCATTACATCTAAATTTGAATCTCTGCTGTAAGAAAGAAAGCAGTTCTGCAGAAGTTTAGCCAACAGTTTATTCTGTATGTTTTGGTACTTGACAATAACTTCTGATTCTGGATAGAGAAACAAGAGTTGCTGTATGCGTTGGTTTTTCAATATCATTTTTTGCTGTGAATTATTTATTTCATTATGGCTTTGTAATCTGCTTACTAAGAAGCGTCGAAGATGCAGTCTTATATCATCCCATATAGACTTTACATCTACAGAGGAATGATCTTCAACAGAATGAAGAGAAGTTCTAGAAAGCAAATGGAAGGATGTTTCACTTAGAGACGACGGGAATGAAACACTGCTTCGGCAGGAGAGGTCCCAAAGTAAATTCAGAATCATTTCTTCTTGATTTTGTTCATTCTTCAAGAAATCTTGCTGATAAAAGTAAATCATAAATTTAGAAATGTGATTAAATCAAAGTACAACATGAAAATATCATTTCTATAAAGATGTACAATTTCATATATTTTTCAATTTAGATTTAATACTCTTTTGCTCTTCAAAACTTTTTCTTTCTTTTTGTATTTGGAATTTAATCAATTCAAATATTTGAGAATATTAGCTCTCATGATCTGTAAATTTTACAAAGGCCAGCTGATTAAATATCTTTTCAGCTAGATTTCTAGACAGGTACTTTTTAATGTTACAAATTATATAACCTAAGCTGTGTGAAGGGTGCAGCTTAAGAATTCTATATATAAAAATGTATAGTAAAATGTTGATTGAAATGTATACTAAGACAAAATAAATTCAAGATCATGGCCCGTAATTAATTCTTGGCATATAATTTTCATGCCTGAATGAGTACACTTATTATTATAAAATCCCAAATGAACATACAATGCTTAAAATCATTCTAGAATAGAACAGAGATCTTTAAATATAGTATGTGTCTAGGGGTTACTAATAGCTACCATCCAGAGAAATAAAATTTAATACATTGAAAGATTTTAACTTCCATTTAAATTCCTTTCTGAGAACCATGTTAAGGATGATTTTACTTTGAAAATTAATCTGAGAATATTTTATTTCTCTCCAAAGAAATAACTAAATCAAAATGGGATAAAGATACTCTCAGAATCACTCCTCAAAACATGATATGAAATTATTCCTTTATACTTTCCATGCTGATACAAAACAATGGTGGGTATAATTACATATAATAAAAGGACAAAAATTACTTTACTCCTGGATTTTGAATCACATAAACATATTTTCCTTACATTCTGACTTTTCTAATTATATTTATTTCAGCTAATACTGAAATTAGTTTATATTCTAACAAGCTGATTACAAGAGAAATGGAAGTAAAGCCCAAGTGGTGTAAAAATCAGGCTGGTTTTGAAATTAATTAATAGTAAAGATGTTACAGGTATTATGTGGGATTCAGAATAATGAACAACTCCTAGACAAATTTCTGGTATTTGTTTTTGGTCATTCTAAGCTTTACAATGTGGAATTTAGTGTTCTATGTGTAATAATTATACCTAATACCTATAATTTTTATTTCATAAAAAGTATTTTCTATATATTCTCTGGGTTATTAAAAACCCAGTTTACAAATAAGGACACTAATATGACGTATGCTTAAATGATTTTCAAACTTCACACATAAGAAGGCAGAGAACCAAGACTAGATTCCTGGTTTCATTTCCTTCATCTGCATTTCTTCCTATCATAATCTAGAGGACTGCAGAGTGAATATAACCTTTCTGTATCTTCTTCTTTCTCTCTATGCTATTAGTTCTTTTGATACTTCTGGAAAGAAATGTCCTTAGGTGGAGTCTGTGACATGTCAACATTAAGATTAATTCTACAAGGCAAATGATCATCTTAGTGCTCAGCCTTGGGCTTTGTTAAGTCAGTTAATAAGTGTAAATATTTGATCAGACAAAAATAATACATTACAGAGGTTTAAAACATGTGTTTTGTATGATTGCTTAAATTTTGAAAATAACTTCACCATAATTGGCATGAGAGCCTTTGTTTCTTATTTAAATAGCTAGATAATTAATACAAATTTTGTATGAAAAAATAAATATATGAAAAATGCCATCAAAATCAACACTTTTAGTATGGAGAAACTTGATAATAAGGTCATTTTAATCTGGATCTGTTTTAATAATGTGGTTCTTTCCTCAAAATAACATGCTCAATTATGTAAAAAAAAAAAACAAAAAAACAAAAAAAAAACCCCTAAGTCTGGCACAAGCCTATCAGACTAATGAGTTTGAACAAAACTAAGGCGGCCTTTGCCCTGCAGTGAATAGAGAATGACTTATGTGTGACAGATTAAAAGATAATTAAAAGCTCTTGCTTTTAATTATATGAGAAAGCATTATTACATCAATATTAATGAAATTCAATACACATGGTTCTTAATAGAAATTAAAGAAATAACTATATCCATATTTATTCTTCAAGGCTCCACCTTCAAGTGATAATGGGTGAGAAGATTTTCTTAAAAGATTAAGGCTTGAGGGCATAGCCTTCCTTTCTCTTCCTTTTATTACTTTGTAAACATTAAAGAGACATCTGTAATAATAACAACAGCCAAAAACTATTTTCATCTGATTCTGTCATCCTAAGCCATCTACAACCTCAAAATATTTTCCACATCTGCCTTACTCAATGTTTGATGTTTAGACAAGAACTGTATGCATTTCTTCCCCCTTAAATTAAATTAAAACCATGGGCTCCAGAAATACTGCTTTCTAATAATTGTACTGTTTCTCTGGGAATCTTTTTTTTTTTTTTTTGTAAGCTAGCCACCATTGTAGATGTAGGTGTAACAAAACAACTATTCTTATTGAAAGATAAAACTTCTCTAATGTAGATGGTGGCCAGTATCAAAGGAAAAATAATATAATAATTCTCCATTAATTAACAGTGGTCTTATATAAATTGCTGACTTGACTGAAAAGAATTGGGTATGAGTACAGGTTGAAAATACAGAGAATGACAGATAAGGCCACTTAAAAGATATGATTGATGTGGATCTTACTATGTTTAATACTGAACATAGAGAAAATTAATAGTTGTGAATAACACAAAATATAATGAGTATGAATTTCTCTGGCAGACAACTGCAGTACACACCAATATAGTTTTTGATACTTATATGCCATACATCATATCACCAATCACCTAGGAATTACAAATTTAACCTTCATTTACATAAAATTTCATTTTTTTAATTAAAAAAAGCAAATAGCTCACTGGATTATATTAGGGATATAAGAACAAAACAAAAACATAAACCTCCTGATATGGCACCTAATATCATTACTAAAATAAATACTTATACATAGAAATAGAAGAAACTGCATTATCTATCTATGTTCACCCACCCCATTCCATAATAAAACAAACTTTCTTTGGTTGTTTATTTTTACCAGTGTTTTGAGGAATTTTATCAGATCTCCATTCGGAATGGAAGGTGACTTAGATGTATTTTGATGATAGCTAGCTAGCCATTCAAAGCAGTCAGTTGATGTTTGCAGCTGTACATCTGGGCATTGTTTGTTAACTTCAGATTGTATTTCTTTAATGCAGGATTCTATGCTATAAAAAAAAATAAATTATTTTTGTAGAAAGTAGGTAATTGCTACATTTCAGAATATCACAGGGCCTGAAATGTTTGTTTGTGGTACCTGGTTGTATACAACTGACAAAAGTATAAAACAGTCATATGATATGAAAATAATAACAAAAGGACTACATATTTTCATTTATACATGAAAACAAAGTTCAAATTTTCTGACAGAAAAAATGCAATAAATAGACAACATCAAGCTACTTACAGATGAATTAGAAATTATTTGTGTTAAAACAAATATCAACCATAAATACAATGCAATAATGGCTCTCTTGATAGGTAGTAGATGGACGGCAGAGAAAAAAATATTCTGATGATTATGAAAATCAGAAACTTTCATTATGTACCAACAGGTGAATGGTGATACCAAGTAGGAAAAACTTCAATACTTGGATATTAAGAAGTTGTGAAGCAGTTACAAAGACTTTGTGAGTTTAAAAGGATAAGAGTTGTATATATAATGTTACTACATCTAAATAATTTCTGAAGTCACCCAACTTCAGAAAAATCCATACTAAAAATTAAAAAAAAAAGACTGGAAGGAAATGAAGCAAAAGGCTAATGAAAATTATATTTGGTTTTTAAATTTTACTTTTCTATATTTTCTAAGTGTTTTTATGGCCCAAAATAAAATGCTTAGTTTTAAAAAAAGAAAACAAACAAAAAAGCTAAGAATCAATTGAATTTTAGAAATATGTTTAAAAATTCCAGTCAAATCATCCCTAACTCTGATAAAACAACATGTATTCTGTTGTTTTAATTTCCATATATAATTCTGCACATGCATGTTTATAAATCATTGTGGTATAAATTGGTGACCTTTAGCAGAGTGTCATCTGTGAAGTCCCATGGATATGACATATTACTACCACCTGATGGCAGCATATCTAAACTGCAAGAAAGCTTGCAAATGTAAATTACTTTGAAGCTGAATCCCCTCATCCAAAATTGATAGTTACGCACTTGTCTCCTAAGAGATTATCAAGAAAGACTTGTTACAAAAAGGCAAAGTTACTGTTTTGAAAATATAATTGCTATTAATTGTAGGCTCCATATGATAGAACCATGTAGGTTTTAGAAACCAAGGTCTGATTATGAAAATTGATGTTCTGTAAATGACTTTTCAAAATTCATCAGGTGTGGGTTGCTATAAAACATGCACTGTAAAAGTTAGATTACAGCTTTTTAGGATATTTCTGAGCATGAATGAATTCAATCTAAATTACCTTGAAAAAAATAAGTTCTGAAAATCAAAAACCCTTTTCATGAAAATAAAGCAAAATAATACCTCCTCTTGGCCACAGGCGGCTCAATTTCCTGATGGGACAGTCTTATTCTGGAATACCAGTTCTGACAAGAGATTGGCATGTATTTTCTTAACTTATGTAAGCATTTATATGGACTGAGAAACACAATGCCTGTAGGCATACATCTTGACTCTAGGGACCCTTTATAATAAAAATCAAAGGTTTTTATTATAGCATCCTCGTGTGCCTCATTCAGTGAAATCTAATAGATTACAGCAATGTGAATTGGAAAGGCTCAGCATTTAGTCTACCTAAATCTGTTTCAATCAGGACTCAGCTTTTAGGCTAATCTCTAACATCTGAATCTGGGTAGAGGCCAATAACTACAATTTATAAATAGGGTAAAGCCTTCAGAGGGCTAGATGTTTTAGTAATTTGTCCAAACATTGATAAAGAGATTAAGCAGTTGCATTTCAAGGGACCGCCTTCATTGATATAAACTAAAGACAGTGGAGCTTCCTTTTAAAATCATTTTGTCACAATTTCTAAACATCAGAACTCATTAATGGCACCTGATTTTTATTTTAATTGGTTAAGTATCTTGTCAATATACCATTCACCACTATTTATATACGTTTTTCTAAAAACAGAATCATCTGAAGTCTAGAATTTCTCTCTCTCTCTCTCTCTCTCTCTCTCTCTCTCTTTCTTTCTTTATTAATTTTTTTTTTGTACCAGGGATTGAAGCCAGGGGCACTTGGCACTGAGTCACATCCCCAGCCCTATTTTGTATGTTATTTAGAGAAAAGGCCTCACTGAATTTCTTAGTGCCTTGCTTTTGCTGAGGATGGCTTTGAACTCACAATCCTCCTGCCTCAGCCTCTAGAGCCACTGGCACCACCGCACCTGGCTACAATTTATCTTTAATTGAGATCAAAATTGAATCAAAAATTAACTTTCAACATTTAAAAGATACTTTTTCAAATATCATGTTTCAAATATTATTTTGAAATATGTATAATAAATAATACTGCTGGTAGGAGATAGTAATCTGTCACAGAAAGAGGTCTGTATATTATTAGACTTAGATGATGTGAGATTTAGTCTAGGTTTTCAGAAGCAACATAGCCACTAGTATTTATTTTGCCTTAAGAGTTTTCTGTTTAAATGAATATTGTTTGAAATTTTCTTTAGAAGCAAAATCAGTTACAAAAAATAACCAAGCTAATTCAACCAACAGGAATATAATTAGCACATTTATTATTGGATCCCAAACATTAGGGCAAAATACACAAAGATTACAAAAATAGTACATTTTCTTCCCAAAATATTTAAATTTCCAAATTTACAACATTAGTTGGCTTAATGAGGAATTTTTAAAGCATATTCTTAGCTTTATTTGAATATTAAAGCCATTAGAGACAACCTAAATGTTCATCAATAGGAGAATGATTAAAGGATTGGATAGTTCAAAATAAGTTTAAAAATAAAGTAAAATTACACTTATCAACACAGATGAATCTTAATGACTATAAACTTAAGGGGGAAAAACAAAAATGAATACACATACTATGATACTATCCATATTCTAATTTGAAAATACTCCATATAATGTTCAGAATTATAAACATAGGTAGAAACTGAATGAGAAATGTACTTGAATGATTCAATATCACCCTCTGCTAGGGTGAGATGGAAGTGCAAGAGGCTGAGAAGAGGTACAGGGAGTCTAAGCTGGTAATATTTTATTTCTTAAATTGAATGGTGGGTGCATGAGTATTTATCATAGTACTCTATGACTTTTCATAAATCTCAACATTTCTTAGTAAATTTGAACTTCAATGTGCTTTAATTATAATGAGTCTGAATTATCCAAGTTAATGATGTGTGCAAGTGATACATTACTGAAAGAGTGTGTATAAATCAATTTATAAACCATTTTTAAAATGCAGAATGTGTATTCTCAGCTGAATTCTACCAAATCTTTAAGAAAAACTAATACCAATACTCCTGAAATAATTACATGAAATACAAAGGGATAGAACACTTCCAAATTCATTCTGTGAAGCAAGTATCACACTCATACAGATAATGATACATCAAGGAAAGAACACTAAGACTAATATCCCTGATGAACTCTGATGCAAAAATCCTTAATAAAATATTAGTAAAATCATTTTCAACAACATATTAAGATGATTGTGCTTCATGACCAAGTTGGTTTTATCCCAGAGATGCAAGGATGGTTCAACATATGCAAATCAATAAATGGATTGTACCTCATAAATAGAATTAAGGACAAAAATCACTTAGTCATCTCAATAGATGCAGAGAAGGGTTTCAACAAAATTCAGCCCATTCATGATTAAACCCATTCATGATTAAAAACACTGAAGAAACCAGGGAGAGAAGAAATCTACCTTAACATCAAAAAGGCTAAGTATGAAAAACCCAAAGCCAATCTCATAGTAAAAGGGGAAAAACTGAAGGCATTTCCTTTAAAATCTGTAACAAGAATATTCACCCTCACATTCTTATTTAATAAAGAGCTAGAAATTCTAGCCAGAGGAACTATGCAAGAGAAGGAAATAAAAGGGCTAAAAATAGGAAAGGAAGAAGCCAGTATCACAGACAGATAAAGACACATACAAAATTCAATAGCTTTCCCATATACTGATAATCAATCTGCTGAGAAAGAAATCTGGAAAACAATTCCATTCACAATAGCCTCCAAAAACAAACAAACAAACAAAAACCCTAGGAACAAATTTACCCAAATATTTGAAGGATCTCTACAATGAAACCTAAACAAGATTGAAGAAAGAAAATGAAGAAGACTTCAAAGGATGATCTCCCACATTCATGGATAAGCAGAATTAATATTACTAAAATGGCCATACTATCATAAGTAATATACAGTTTCAATGCAATCTGCATCAAAATACAAATGACGTTCTTCAAAGGAATAGAAAAAGTCCAAAAACTGCATGGTGCTGGCAAAGAAATAGACAAATAGACCAATGATATAGAATAGAAGACACAGAGACAAACATATACATCTATAGTCATCTAATCTTTGACAAAGTTGCTAAAAACATACATTGGAGAAAAGACAGTCTTTTTAAAGAAATGAAGCTGGGACAACTTGTTATACATATATAGAAGAATGAAACTAGACTCTTATCTCTCACCCTGAACAAAAATTAACTCAAAATGCATCAAAGACCTAGGAATTAAACTAGAAACTATGCAACTTTTAGAAGAAAATGTAGGGTCAACCTGCCGCAGTCTGGCTGGGCACAATTCAGGAGCCACTTATCAAGCAGAAATGAACTTTATTTTTAGAAAACACACACACACACACACACACACACACACACACACACACACACACGACGCACCACAGGAGCTCTTCAGGAATTCCCTCAGAGCCCAACTGCCACCACCGGCTTCCCACAAGCCTCTCAACCCCCCACTCCTCCTGCTCTTGAGGCCCAATTGGCTGGGATGCGTGGGCGGAGCCAAAAAAAGTCCCACAACTGCAGCTCTGTGGTCTGAAAGGGCAGGGAAACAACCCAGTGAGCATCACCGCAGAGGAGCCAATCAGCTAGCAGCTGGAAGTTTGCTGGGGCCGCTGTGAGCCAATCATCAGCTAGCAACTGGAAGTTTGCTGGCAGCTGGAAGTTTGCTGGAGCCCCTTCGGCTGTGGCTCTCAACTAGAAACTATGCAACTTTTAGAAGAAAATGTAGGGTCAACCCTCCAATTTTTAGGCATAGGCAACAACTTTCTCAGAAGATCTCCAAAGAATGGCAAAAGTCAATAAATGAGACAGCAACAAATTAAAAATCTTCTGCACAACAAAGGGAATAATTAGGAATGTGAAGACAGAACCTACAGAATGGGAGAAATTCTTTGCTAGTTACTCTTCTGACAGAGGATCAATATCTAGAAGACATAAGAGTTCAAAAAGCTTTACAACAAAACTCTAAATAACCCAATTAATAAATGGGCAAATAAATTAAACAGACATGTCTCAAAATAAGAAACATAAAAGGCCAATGTATAAAATGTTCAACATCATTAGCAATTAGGAAAATGTAAATCAAAACCACACTGAGATTGCATTTCACACCAGTCAGAATGACAGTCATCAAGAAAATAAACAATATATAAAATAATGTTAACAATAATGATGGAGAGGATGTGGAGAAAAAGCAAAATATTTATACTGTTGGTGAGATCGTAAATTAGTACAGGTTCCTCTAAAGACTAGGCAGGGAACTACCATATGACTCAGCTATACCCCTCCTCAGTATTTATCTTAAACAATTAAAGTCATCACACTATGGTAATATGTGCATACCCATGTTTATAGCAGCATGATTCACAACAGCAAAACCATGGAACCAGCATAGTTATCCAACAAGAGATGAATTGATAAAGAAAATGTGGTATATAGACACAATGTAATTTTATTCAATCATAAAGAAAAATGAAATTATGTAATTTGCAGGAAAATGGATGGAACTAGAGATTATTATGTTAAGTGAAATAATCTGAATTCAGAAGGTCAAGGACTGCATGTTTTCTTTCATATGTGGAAGTTAGGAAAAGTAAAAAGAAAGGTTCTGAGGGTGGGGGTGGGGTGGAGCAGAGATCTCATGAAAATCAAAGGAAAATCAGTAGAGGAAAGGGACCAGAGGCTGAGAAAGGGGAGGGAGGGAGGAAGTGCTCAGGAGTGATATTGGCCAAATCATAATATTATACTGTGTGCATGTATGAATATGTAGCAACAAAATTCTATCATATGTACAACAATAATGTACCAACAAAAAATGTGGAAAGAGAAAAAAAGTAGATTATTTGGGGGAAAAAAAGAAACTTCTCAATCAAAAAAATAAAAAAAAATTAATATAAAATATTCTTTTTTTAAAGGCTACCCATGACAATTTTCCTATTAGCTTTCACTCCTAGATTACTGGAGTCCAAAAACTACTTATTGAATGAAGGCATTATATTTGATAACCATGAAATGAACACTGAATGAGTGGTTGGCACTGTAATATATACTAGAGATCTAAAGCAATAAGACATCATCCTATTCCTAAAGGAATTCTGTCTAGTAAAATAGATAGACCTGTAAATAAATAACTACAATATGTTAAGATGTGATAAGAGGTGTGTAGAATGTGCGAAGGGAGTACATAAGAGAGAACCACCAAGTGTGCCTGTGGGAGGTATAGAAGTAGATTCTACTCATGGAAAAGGAGGTTGTATGCAACAATACTGCTGCTTTAAGAAAATTTATAGAATCACCCTACTTAAGATTCACTGCCACCTAACTCCCACAATTCAGTACTAATCATTTATTTAGAGAATAAAAATTATGATTTTATTTTTGTGGCCTCACCACACTTACATTCATGCCCCTATGTGTACAAATATGCACAGATACACTATCTTACTTCCTAAAAGATTACAATATCCTATAATTAAACAGATGGCATTAAATACCAACAGCAGCATAAGACCCATTAATATTAATCTGGTGGAAGTGGGGAGAGAGACTGAGAAAAAGAAAAAAATAAAAAGAATTGCAGCATAAAATCTTGAAACTACAATATGTAGCTTACTGCAAAAGCTTCTCAAAGATTTAAAATATAGTCTTCATTATGTAGCCACAAAACAGTTAAAAGGAAAAAAAAACATGCTCCACTGGGAAAAATTATGAGAATTTCTTGATATAAAGGTTGTAAAAAACAAATATATGTGTTTTCATGAATGTTAAAACACTTTTAAATATTTTTATTTCTTAAATCAGAGTAGAAATCCTATGGCAGAGTAAAGAACATTTTTATAGTATGAAAACCCAAACATTAAAAAAAAATTTTTTTTAAGATGTTACATGTTCAGTGTTCTTGTTTATATGTCATATCAATAACGCAAGTTCAGTTTAAGGAAAAGTCTTTCAGTTCTGTCAAAATGTGTTTAGAAACACAAATAAATAATTATAAGACAAATAAGAATTTTTTAGTTTTTGGATAAGCCTAGTTTATCTAAATAAGTTACTAAAATTCCTTGGGATTACCAGGTAATTTTCAGGGAAGAGGGCTGATTTATGAAAACTATTGTGTAGGGCTGAGGTTGTGTCTGAGCAGTAGAGCACTTGCCTAGTACATGTGAGGCCTTGGGTTTATACTTGGCACCACATAAAATAAATAAAATAAAGGTATTGTGTCCAACTACAACTAAAAAACAAATATTAACAACCAAACCAAACAAACAAAACACTAGTGTGTAATTAAACTATAAGTCAGTCATGAAACGAAAACTCATTTTCACAACATAAAGACATTTCTGGATAATGTTTTATAAAAGGACAAAAAAAAAGGATTCCTAAAACAACTACTTTAATGGCTAAACTGAATAAGAAATTAACATTTCTGCTGAAATGTATTCTATTTCAGAAAGGTTTTAGTTATTTCAAAAAGTTGTAATGTATCTAAAACTATAGGGGGAAAAAACACTTTTGACATCAAATCACATTAACACTATCTCTTTACATCTTTCTCATATGTATGCTTCCCTTTCTATTTTGTCAAAGAGTTAAGTTAGGCCCTTATCATTTTTCGTCTGGATTGTATATTAATAGCCTCCCAAGATTCCTGTCTATTGTTAACTCATCTTTCCTTATTTAGTATGAGGAACATAGTATGAAACAAACTTTACAGTTAAGTCCTTCTGTTGATTTGTTGCATTATATCACCAGTCTTTAGTTTAGAGAAGCTCTGGAATGGCCCAGATGGCTTCAGAAAAGTTCAAACCCAGTGTAGGCATGTCAACCTGAAAAGTCTTAAAATGCTTTTAAAAAATTAAACAGTTGTGAAATATCTATCTCCAATACCCTCCCCAGGCCCCTAGTTCCTGTCCCCAGGCCCAGTTTCAGTGGATGGCAGAGTTATACCAGAATGAGCTGGTATTAACAAGAAGAATGAGCCTGGCATTATATCTATGTTGAGACACATGGTTTTAAACCTCTGCCTCCTAAATTTATATCTGATTTGGATGATTTTTCATAAACTGTAGAGGCAAAAGCAAGATGAAAGAGTCACAAAGCTATGTTAACTACATAAAGAAAAATTTTTAGAAGTCTTCCACAGAGATATAAGAACATGGTGATTTAATACCCATGACAAGGAATCATATGTAAGTGTCCTTTTGATCTATGAAACTTGCTCCTGTAATTTTAGCATAATGTGGTTTATCTCAAGGAAACTATACAAACTAAAATCAGGAGGAGAAAAGTGGGGAATCTGAACGAGTACTTACTCCATGCCAATTCCCTTGATTCTCTTCCTAAGAGCCAGAGATAAAAAAAAGAAATGGAGAATATTATGTAACAGTGAGAATCAGAAGAGATCTGGAGCCATATCTGGTATAAATCTTTATCTCTACTGATAAGTCGAAGCAAGAAGATTGCAAGTTTGAGGCCAGCTTCAGCCTCAACAACTTGTCAAGACTCTGTCTCAAAAAAAAAAAAAAAAAGGTGGGCGGGGGACATAGCTCAATATTAAAGCACCCCTGGGTTCAACCCCCAGTACAAAAAAGCAAAACAAAACAAAAATAGAAATTAAGGGTTTTAATAATACCTATGGTTAGGGCATGAGAATGGAAGGCATATTGCATACATTCTATATGCTACCCACTGGAGAGAAGTCATTTGCAGCACTGCTGGAGAACAATTTTGCATAGTTAACTGCATAATTTCTAAGAAAGTATCTCATAGATAACTTTCATAAGGATGGAAGGACATATCCTTTGTATGTGTAATAATATCATAAAAATGAAAATAATGGAAATGCTTATCAAAGGAGAACTGGTTTAATAAAAGGTATTACTTGCATATTCATACAAGTAAAATTTAAAAGAATTAGGGAGAACTATATGAGAGATTTTTATATACATTAACACACACACACACACACACACATATACATGCACACACATAATCATAATACATATCCCTTTATGAAAAAACCTCTGAAATGTACTTTTAAGTGCATACATGTATATGTACAGAATATTTCTGGGAAATTATATAAAAATTAATCAGAGCAGGTTCATAACAAGACTAGAAGGGTCAGAGGAGTAAGAATACTTCCTCATATTTGCCCATCTCTACTATTTGAAATTTTACTGTATAAATTACTATTATAATATAAAAATACCTAATGAATATTAACATTTGAAGACAGTTTCTTTTACCATGCTCTCCTCACCTAACTCCATTCTAATTTAAATAAAGCAAGCACAAGCCTAAAAAACATGCTAACGTATATTTATTGATTACCTTCTAGCCTACTATGTGCCAGGACTGTTTCAGGCAATACTGTTTTTGGCAATTCTGCTTTACAACTGTTTTAGGTACTACAGTAATAAACAAAATCTTTAAAGCAGAAATTAAAGAAAAGTCTTTAAAGTAACGTGGATTAGGATTGTGATGAGCCATTGGCCTTGGTGTTAAAGACACTTTTCAGACAAGGTACTGAATTTGTTGAGTCCTGGACAAAGTTCTTTTCCAAGAACAGTAGATAGGATTGAGTTTAATTTTAATCACTTATCCAACAGGAAAGATGGGCAGCTAACAGTGGTCATGTCTGTTACTGGGGCTCAGTCCTCTGGTGTATTTTCTTCTCTGTTCTTATCCTCAGGGGTGGGTCAGATCTTAACAGGCCCATAAGTTGTTACCTTAGGAGTTGGGCTTTATTTCCAACTGGCCCATTATTTCTTTGGGAAACAGTGGCCCAACTATTATTGATTCAATCTGCATACTGAGTCTGGATTTTCAGTATCGTAATATTTGTACTTTTGCTATCCTAATAGTTTAAAAGCAGGTAGACATGTGCTTCTCTTTATTTCCCATGAAAAGGTAATTACAATGCTATTCTTTAGGAACATCCTCAAACAAGAATTCTCTATTGTGTTTATGCTTTATGGCCTACATTAAATTAAAGTGTTGTACTTACAAATAAAAGCTATACTTTTATTTATAAATGGGGCCAGGAATAGTTTAGGGTACCTAGCAGCTGAGGCCCAGGATGCTATCTGTGTGAGGAGGATAAGAATGCTATGAAGACCCAGTCAGAGGACATTGGAAAGTGGTGTTTTAGGTCTTACTTTGGGTTCAATGATAAATGAGGAAAATGTTTTCTTTTCATATAGCCTAGTCTTGTGCAGTAGAATGGGAGGAGAGGTAGGCTTCTGTTAGATGGAGTACAGAATATAGAAACCCCAAAACAAGATATAAACATAGGAAATTTAAATGCATCTACCATGTGAAAAAGTCTAAAGGTTTCACATATAAGCTCAAAAAATTTAAACATAATATGAAAAATAAGTGTAATCAGTAGGCATGTATCCTCTCTTTAATAAATACAAATAAATTTATAGAAATCTTTATCTAATACTCTTTCATGATATCCTTCCTCCCTTCACTGCTGAATTAAAACCAATGGATTGTCCCTGGTAGCACTTCCTAATTTTTCTTTAGATCACAAAAAATGTAGATATCTTATATCAGTACCAGCAAAACCTGCTTCCCGAGGTACAGATTGAAGTTGTCTATAATTAGAAAACAGGAGAGTAAAACAGACTTTTAAGATACAATAATATAAAAAAAACCAAGACAACAATAACAACAAAAATAAAATAAAATGCTACATTCAGGGCTGGGGATGTAGCTCAGTAGTAGACTGCTTGTGTAGTTATGTACCAGGCCCTAGGTTCAAACCCCAGAACCACAAAATATATCAATCAATAAATAAAAATAAAGAAGGTGCAGGTAAATTAAAAAGATACAATAATATACATCCAACTGAACATTAAGTGGATAAAAATCATTCTGTCTTATATTGTCAGTTCAAGAAAATGTCTATATCTCAATATCTTATTAAATTAATAAGTTCTAGTCAGCTCAAAAAATGTTTCAGTGTATGTGCAGTTTTCTGACTCTGTGGGTACACATTTATAGCATTCTTCCATGGCAGGTTATTAACCTTCTTGTTATCAATTTTGATATGTGTTCAAAGTAAATGATTCATTGTCCCTGATTTTGACCATCAGAACTAGGAGTCACCTAGCTCTGAATGGAGTGGAAACCAGTGTATAAAAGTGAAAATAGCTTGAGAGAATGACTGCCTATCCTGAGGGGAGGTGAAGGTTCAGTGACCTCTGGGCACACCAGTCCATTCTGGTGAATCACTGCTTTGGGGAGGTTAGAATCCCCATAGCTCATAAAATTTGATGATATTAAGAAGAGGGAAAGAATTCACACTTAAGATGTCAGGGTCATTTTAAGAAATAACAGCTTTAAAAATCCAAGTGTAAGAAAAAATACTCTATTTAAAAATGTATTGCTAATATTTTTTTTCTTTTAAAGTATTAGGGAAAACCCATATCATACAGATGTTCATTACTTATTCAATGTACACCACTGGGAGATAAACAGAACTGTTAAAATACAAAAATGCCAAGGGTAATTCAACTGCTGCAGTGTAAGTGTGGCATAACTGATTCGTCATGACACACAATTTTCTAAAAGCTATTCTGTTAGAAGGCAATAAATGAGTGCATAAATGATTTACACTCTTTAGAACCATAGTTATTATTCAGTATTTTATTTTTAAAAATATATACACCCTATACTATTATGTTTATTCTCTAGAGTATAATAAAAACATAATTGAATTTGATGAAAAATAGACTTGATTGTAAATGTAGCATACAGTACATACAGCTACTCTCTTATTTTATCCCTTGTGAAGCTCAATGGTCACTTGAGGTGGTTCTGCTCTAGGTTTCTTTTAATATATGAGCAATAAAGTATTTTTAATTTAAAATTATATCCCTATATTCTATATTACAATTTCTTTTTTTACTAACATCTGAATTTCAACCTAAAAAATAATTTATGAATGCAAAATATAATAATTTAATAACTGTTTTACTTTTAAGTGTGATTTTTTTATTGACCAAGTAGGGCAGAAAATTAAGTACAGATGGCTTACCAAATAAAAACAAAGCAATATATAATAAAAACATCAGTTTTATAGCTTACTTTGTTTTGATAGAGACTAAATGTCATTTTGAAGGGAGAAATGTATCTTTAAAATAATTTTCCATTTTAAAAATATAACCATCTCTGAAATTTAGATAAATTATTTTAAATCTATTTAAATGAACACTATATTCATTTCTAAGTTCTTTTAGGTTAGAAACTCCATCATACAATATATAAATATATAGAATAAAAATTACATGAGTGCATAATTACACTTAGGTTTTATATAGTTATTTTATAATATATGTAATTTCAAGTATACACTCTCAACAGTATGGTTAAGTTATATACATATGTTACATTTAAAATATATTCATTACATATGTTTATATTATAAAGTTAAAAATAAGTTTAATTCTTTCTGTTGAAATTCAGGGAAAAGATTTCCTCCTCTCCTTTTTCTTAAATCATGTGCCTTAGAAAATTTAATCATAGTACTTTTGTACTTTTTGGACATGTATTCCTTGAAAGACTAGATGTGCCTTTTGTCAGCTTTGGGACCCAAAATGTCCTTCTCAAGAATCTGGGAGCTATGTTTTTGAAATGAGTAACCAGATAGATCATTCCCCTCTTTCCTCCTCCTTTCTGTGGGAGAGTTAAGAGTCTAACTTCAGTGTGTACCTGGCTTCAATTTACAAAATTATCACCTGGCATGAAGATATTAAAAAGATATTTCTCCTCCAGATGAAGTCTACCAGCTAACACAGGTAGTAACTTCCCCAACTCTCACAGTAAATTTAGTATGAACTATGTGTGAAAAAATGTGTTGTGAAGTCTTCTTAAGGATTAGTGATGTTTACCTCAGCAACATATGAGTACAGACTGTGTCTAACTGGCTACCTAAGGTCGTAAGAGGCCTTTCTGTCTTTGCAATCTCTTAGTAGATTGCCTGTGATGTACATCATATTTTTGTTTAATGCTTAAACAACAATAAAAGTGTTTTCTTTCTCTGCTGATTTCATGGGCAGGATTTCTGAGAAGAGAAAAATTTTGTTTCTAATTATAACTCCCCAACAATATGCTATCTTTTGAAATTATTTGTACCTATTATTATGGTGATGAAGAATTAACTGTATTCTCATGTAAACAGGAGAAAAAATACATTAGAACATTTTCAATTGCTTCATTCATTTTCTTTGAACCAATTGAAAGATAACTTAAATATTCAAAAAAGAAAATATTTTGTTGCATGCTAAAAATTTTTACTGTGATTTGTGCATTTATAGCAACCCACATGTGAATTAGAGCTTTTAACTAGAAGGATTCAAATGAGTGAACTGCCTGATTAAAGAGTAAGATCTATTTATAGAAAACTCCTTTGTTATCCGTGCTCCCAGTATTGGGAGAGCAGTCCCTCTCATTTAGGTGAGCATTTAGGCAAGAAGAAGACTTAAAATGACAAATATTATGCAAATATCTTATTTTTAATGTTCTGTTTTCAGTAACTTAGTGATTGTGACCTTTTAATACCATTTAAATACCTTAATTTAAAATTTTTAATTACTGTGATTACCTTCAAGTAAAAATGCTTAACTCTAAACATATAAATGACAATCCAGGACATTAATATTTCAAACTCTAAGAATCCTTTAATAGTGGTTTAATAAACTCTAATTTGCCTATTTGAAAACAGTGCTTATCTTTTCTAGTCTTATTGAAATTATTCATCAGATAAAGACAATTGCAGAGTTTCTGTTCTCATGACTAAAAGGCTCAGGAGTCACTCCAGGTAAACTGGGCTAACTGGGCTGTGCAAAATAACCACACAAGAGACACAATACCCTTTTCTTTGGGGTCGCTGTGATGGCTTCTCTGACCTTAAGGGTCCACAGAAAGAGAGAGAGTGAGAGCACTGCTGACCCCTTTTATTGAGGAGAAGCTATTCAAATGAGGCAAGGGGTCAGGTTTCAGGGGGCTGAGTCTATCTTCATGATGTCCACTGTCAGCAGTTTGACTGATGCCTGGGTAGGCCACACCCAAGGGCACAGTAAGAGAAGGGGACATACACAAGGCACTTCCACGGAAGATTCTATCCTCAACAGGGCAAGGGGTTGTATTACAAAGGAACAGGTGAGCATAGCTTCACCCATGGAGATGTAGAAGACACACCCATGCACAAGACACAGACCCTGGAACCCAAGAAGGGTGGGGAAAGCTCTGCCACATTTCTGTGACTGAGTGCTTCAGCACCCAGCCAGGGAGTGTGACCCAGTCAAGTGCAAGGTTGGTCTCCCACAGATAATTGTGTTAAATTTTAAGATGGGGATTATAATCAATATTTTTCATGAAAGTTAATAATAATTCAAACCCCAAATTGTTTAAGAGTAGAAACATTAGAACTAGACTAGGTAAATTCTATGTAAACAGAATATGAAATGATTTTTACAAAATAATTAGCAATATTTACCTTGTAGCATTTTGTTCTATCTGTTCATCAATGTCACTGAAGATCTGCTTAAACTCCAAGTCTCCAGGAAACGAGTTTAATAAGCATTGTAGGTCAAAAGAATTATGGGAATATTCATCTACCCAGTCCATTCTAAGGAACAAAAATAAGCAATAAAACATGTCAGTTTCCCCAAGATAAAAAGATAAAAAAAAAAAACAAAGAAAGAAATCTACCTCAAACAAATCGTGATACTAAAAGTTGTAACACTAAACCAAAAATAATAGTTTCCCTTTATAGGCACATGAAATATAGACAAGGAAAAGAACTAGGGTGCTATTAAACTAGGGAGAGTGCTTTGTTATTTATATTTCATGAGGTGTGACCTAATTTTCACACTTCTCTGTGGTATGAAAACTGAACAACAAACCAGCCTTAGAGGGTACTTAAACATTCTATAGCTTCTCACTATAACCAAAGCTACAGAGGAAATCAATACACCCAGAGAGCACTGTAAACAAAGCTGGATGAAGCTAGAACTCAACGTCTTCCTTCCATTCTTATGAATACACTGACCTGGAAATTGTAGTTTCAGACTTTTATTTTTAATTTAAAAAATTTGGGGGGGGGGGGCGGGTACTGCAGATTGAACCTAGGGGCACTTTACCACTGGGCTACAGCCCCAGTCCTTTCTTAAAATTTTGAGATAGGATCTTGCAAAGTTGCTAAAGCTAGCCTTGAACTTGTGATCCTTTTGCCTCAAACTCCCTATTCGCAGGGATTATAGGGGTCCACTGCCACACCAGGCCAGTCTCAGACTTTTATAGCCTCATCCCCTGGGCCTACTTATATGTGAAGAAAGCAAAATTTTCCTTGAGCTCCTCTAGCATTCCAGACAGACTTTGCCAAAGGCTATTGTCTTTCTTTGGTCACACTCAATTTCCAAAGAGAATCACTTATAAGCTATTATCTATTTTTTGGTGTCACTAATTTCCCCTAAAAATCATTTATTGTCCCTTAAAATTGCTCAGATTTTCCCCATATCCCTCTTCCCTGTCAAGAATGTATAAGCATCTGAACCTCATCGGGTTATTTAGTACTCTCCACCTTCCTGTGATCCCCCTGAACACACTAACAAGTTTGAGCATTTTCTCTTGTCAATAGTCAGTTTACTTCACTAAATTTAGACTCAAAATCACAGGGGGGAAGAAAATTCTCTTCACTGCTACACTAGTAAAGTTATTCTGTATTATTACAAGAGTCGTTTTACACCCCAAAGTTCTCTCCCTCCAGAGCAAAAAGGTTTATTCAGACACTGAATGAATGGATGGTGTGTATCTATGTGCAAGCCTCTCTTTAGAATTTGTGAACAGAAGCCCGGTGTGGTGATGCATGCCTATAATACCAGAGGCTCAGGATGTTGAGGCAGAAGGATCTCAGGTTCAAAGCCAGCCTCAGCAAAAGCAAGGTATTAAGCAACTCAGTGAAATCTTGTCTCTAAATAAAATACAAAATAGGTTGGGGATGTGGTTCACTGGTTGAGTGCCTCTTGAGTCCAATTCCTGGTACCCTCCTCTGCCTCAACAAAAAAAGAATTTGTGAACAGAACTAAATGCTGATTATTTTCATAAGTGACCAAAAGTACAAAATAACTGCAGTGGAATGATTTTAGTATTTTTTTATTCTCTTTAGCCTCTTTATTCTCTCTTATGTTTTTGTAGAAGTCTGGAAGTAACTTAGGCTTCATTCTGTTTCTCTGACTCTGGTCAAGACCCAGTAATGTGCCTTTCCCGTGTAGATTTTTAGTTTCATTTAGATTTTCAAGGAAGCAACTGTTATAGCATAATGAGAGGAAGGAGCCAGACTTGTTCGGCTGCTCAAAAATACCACTGTGGTTCCTTCTCTCTCTGATGGCTACCTCACAGCCTACTTTATTCTTTACTGTTTTGTCTGTGAAACTGGCATTGTTTCAGAGAATGGCTCTTACTACTATAGCCGCTTCCTTTTGCAATACTGTAGAATGTAGTTTTCATGCTTCTGGTGTCTTCATTTCTCAAAGCCTCTCTACCTTCTATCTTTCAGAAATATTCCAATGCATGTTTCTTTCAGTGCTGCTTTTCTATTATATCTTTACTAACATTTCAATAGGATTTCAAGAGGGAGGAAAGTAAATGTGTGTGCTTAGTCCTTCATCTTCAGAATTTTCTGTTTCCATTTCCCATACTAAGGGAAATAAAATAAATTATGAGACTTTGAAAAGTCGAAATGTACTGCACAATCTTTTCAAATAGGTATGGCCAAAGCAGAAGACACTACTTATTGATATGTGTGTGTGTGTGTGTGTATAAAATATATAT